AACATGTATTTAAATCAGATATTTAGCCATTATAACAATTTAAGCGACCGTGCTAGAACCACGGGATTCGAGGGTGCCTAACACCTTCCCTCGGGTCAACAGAATTCCTTACTTAGAATTTCTGGTTCGCAGACTTCATTTGGAAAAGTCGAAAATTTCCTCGATTTGGGATTCAAGATAAACCGGTGACTTGGGACACCAAAAACCAAACCTTTCCCAAGTGGCGACTCTGAATTAAATAAATAATCTCATTTCGAATATTGTCACTTAAATTGGAAAAACTCCCTCGCGCATTTAACCCTTCGGGGTCGGGCGCGCAAAAGGAGGTGTGACACCATAGATGCATCTATTTCTACCAAGGCGATCGGCCCGATCCACAAATATCAATTATCATCAAGAAAGTGCATAAAGGCGCATTTATATTCAAATAATTCATACACGTGTTCAAGCAAGTGCATACGTTCACATATATTTATTTCCAAATCTTTAGCATATCCTAAGTGATCTCATTAGCATTAAAGAATATAAACATTCACAAATATGGTATGATACGGGTCCTAACTACCCGGACAATTAACATAATAGTAGCTACGTACAGACTCTCGTCACCTAGTGCGTACGTAGCCCCCCGCATTTAGTGGCAAATTATTCAATTATTTCACCTATGGGGACAATTCCTTTTTACAGGATTAGAAAGGAGATTTACCTCGCTCCAAAGCGTACTTCCAATATCAAGAATGTGCTCAAACCCTCAATTTGGAGTCGAATGATCCAAAACTAATTCACCGAGGTAGAAACTAGTTAATACAAGCTCACAAGATCATATTCTAACTATTAAAATAATTTCCCAACCCAAAACACAAATTTCCTAAAATCTGACCCCAGGCCCACGCGCCCGGATTCTGAGATTTTTTTCGAAGAAAGTTATTCTTTATAACCTAAGGATCAATAATATATGATTTCTACTTCATTCTATAACAAATTTCGTGGTTAAATCTAACTTTTATCAAAACCCTAGGTTTTGCTCTAATCCCATAATTTTTCCTTAATCTATATGGGTTAATCTACCCAAGGTTCAAGTATTTAACTAGAAATAAGTAGGATGAACTTACCTCAAGATGCTAAGTGGAATCTCTCTCTTAGAAAGCTTCCAAATCGCCCAAACAATGGTGGAAATGTGTCAAAAATGACACATTTCCGTATTAAATAAAGGCACTGCCTTCAGTGATTTCTGCACCTGCGATTAGGGCCCCCACTGCGGTCTCGCTTCTGCGAGAAGGGGCCCGCATCTGCAGAATTGGGCCAGGCGGGTTAGGGCTGCTTATGCGGTGTTGGAGCTGCTCTTACTTAGCCGCTTCTGCGGAGAAGCGGTTCCTGGGCTCCTCCCCTTGGCCGCTTCTACGATGAGTTGACGACACCTGCGGCTGACCAACCGCAGGTGCTGTTATGACAGATAGTTGGAGCTTCAGCTCTTTGCCAATTTTTCCAACTTCACTCGAGCCTCGCCCGATTAACGCTCAGGGCCCCCCAGCCCCCGCCCGTATATACCGACAAGTTTGAAATCATAAAACAGACTCGCTCGAACCCTCGGAACGCCCGAAACAATGCCAAATCTAAGAATCACTCCCTAAAACCAATTGAATCAAACTTATGAACTTCAAGTTCTTCAATTTACTTTTAACGCGCCAAAACGTACTTATACTACTCGGGTTGACACCAAATTTTGCGTGCAAGTCTTAAATGTTATATTGGACCTGTACCGGGCTCCAAAACCAACATACTGGCTCGATACCAACATGATCAAGCATTATTCAATTTCATTAAATCCTTATTCGATTCTGGGCATACGCCCAGGTCCCATATTTTCCTACGGACCATCCGGGACCGTCAAAACACAAGTCCGAGTCCGTTTACTAGAAATGGTGATCAATGTCAAACTTAGCCTTTTAAGAAAATTTTAGGGAATCAAGTGTGCCTATTTCAACCCAAACTCTTCCAAATCCCGAATCAACCATCCTCGCAGGTCGTAAATTAGTTAAAGCAAGTGCGGGAAGTCTTATTTAGGGGGACAAGATTTTAAAAAGCGAAAAGACCAGTCGGGTCGTTATAATTTTTATAATGAACTACATAAAACACTATCCTAAAATTATAATTGATATTTTAATATCAATAGCTAATAACAAACACAATTACTAGCTATTATAATTCGTCAAATTGTAATAATATTACAAGATCCATCAGTCCATATAAAAAATGATAGTAACTAGTTAATGTCTCATTTTCAAATTAGATGAGGTACTTTTTCTTTTAGTATGTTCCAAAATAAACGACACATTTCTAAATTTAGAAATAATTCAACTTTAAACTCTTCATTTTACCCATTTACCCTTAATAAGAAGTCTTTATAATCACACAAATGTCATGGCCCCACAAAGTTTTTACCCCTTAAGCTTCTAAGACCACAAGTTTTAAAAGTCTTTTTTTTTCTTAAATTCTGTGGCGAGTCAAACTAACCCATCTAAATTGAAACGGAAGGAGTATTATGTAATATAATTTTCCCACATTATACGAACAATCTCTTCACGACGAGCGTACTATCAGATGAGCGAGAAGATGAAGCAACATTGTTATAAAATAATAAATGTTGGGTTCTTTTATAAAATATAAAAGTTTGGAGCAATTTTTAAATTTTTTAAAAAATATAAAAGTAATATTTTGGACCAAAACCAGCTATTGAGATGGTTTTGGGATTTGAAAATTTTCCAAAATATGAATAAAATTTATAAATAAACATGTATTTGCCAAAAAAAAAATTGGAAAAAATTTGGCAAAATCTATGGCCAAACAGGTCTTTAGTGTTCCCAAACAACAATGTTGTGCAGCCAAACGAGCCCTGATAATTAACATCATTCCACATTTGCCCCCGTTTGATTGTTGAATGACCTTCTTGTTCTACTCGCCCGTCCCTTCCCCAATCTCTGCTTTTCTCTTCCAAGCACGAGCAGCCATTGGAGACTCAATTGTCTATGTCCGATCAAAGATTACGATCGGCCTCAATTGAATTCTAGAAAACAGAAATAAGAAAAGGAATTCTACGAGTTCTTCAATATGATGACGCGGTCGTCTTCTGGTCAAATCAACATCGCGGCGCGTACGAAGAAACTCGATGTAGATAATCGAATCTCTCTGAGAATTTACTATCGGATCGCTGATAATGTCCTCAAACAGGTCTTCCTTTTTCTATTACCTACTTTATGAATTTTATCCTTATTTGCATATTTTTTTTTTTGAATTCTTAACTAAGTGAAATTTAGATCGCCTGTCCAAGGATCAAGGTTTTATCATTGAATGCACAGCTCTTAAGCTTGAAACTTGAATTACTGACATCTCCACTCAACGTATATTTGGTTTTTAGACATACTGAAAATTATTGGCCGCTGTAGGGTTTTCATTTGAGAACTATTGATAGATTTTTATTATTGTTGTCGTTGTTATAATTATCATTATTTTGAATTTCTTGAAATTATTTATCATATCCTTAATTGGAAATTAGTAGTGAGCAGATGCCATACTTCAGAATCATTTTTTTTAATCTCTAGGATTACCACTACCAAGAGTTCACCATTTACTTCTACCCTGCTTATAATGTTTTCTAGCTGAAATAAATAACTGGTGAACCAAAAAATGGAATGTTAATTTTAGGTGGTTGGGTGGTTCATGTTTTTGTTGAAAACTTGAAATAGACTAATAGAGCGAATGAAACTCTTCCACTCTGATATAGTTAGGGAAATGCATGCTCATTTCTTAGGTCAGGTACATAGCTCCGATGCTGGCTTTGCATCAGGGTTAGTTCTGACCCTATTCCAAGTCAAATAGCACATGGGACTCCCTTACTCTATTTATACTCTTGTTTGGTATAGATTCGATTTCTGAATTTACTGCATAGTACAGAAGAATTGGCAGTCATGGATGTCATAGTGTTGCTTGAGTGCTAAACAGATGCAGTAGCTAGTTTTAAGCTGGGATATTGGTATACAGTGACATTACCATATTATTGAAGTTGTCATGTCTCCTTAAGTTAATTGCTTATACTTTTTCCAATAACTATCACATCTGTATGCTGCTTGTGCGTTCTTGATCTGAAAAGCCCTTGCTAGTTCATCTCTGCTTGCCAAAAAGTGATCCCTTCGATTTGATCGACCTGCCATACTGTTATAGAAATATAGTGTGCTATCCCTTGTTATTTCTCTAGAGCCTCTTCTTTGCATTCTTCATATTTCTCAACTATAGCATGGTACTTGTTTGGTGGTGCACTTTTGTCTGTCGTACTTATGTTTTGATATGCCAATGATTAGTAACTTTTAAGTCATTTTATGACTCTTGTCGTCCATCAAATATCTTTCTATACTAAAGTGCTTTGCTATTAGGTAATTGTTTATGTAGTAACTTTCTGTTTGAATTCATATTCCTCTTTATTCTCTAGAGTCTAGACTGATATTGCAGGAAATGATATATTTTCCATATTGTAGGCTGACATTTTCCGCTCAGAGGGAGACGTCATAGATTTATATGTCATGCTTCTTAGATTCTCAAGGTGAGAAGGGAAGTCGAATGACCCAAAGCTATATTTTGTTTCAGGTTAATGTCAGAAGCTTGCACTGAGCTTTATTATTCGTTATGCTTAATTTTCTGATGTGGTTTTGCAATGTTAGAAGCTCTCCCTTATTTCAAACTTTGAGTAGCCAAACCCTTTTTCTTTGTACTACAGAGTTGACCAAGCTGCCCTATTGGATAATAGTATTATTTCCTAAGAAACAAATTTGTTAGTTGCGGATGCCTCAAAGTGTTTTTTTTCCTAATCACTTGCTAACTTAAGGTACAGAGAAGCATAGAAAAATACTTTATCTAAATTGAGTTTTCCAAAACTTGCTTTGATTAATCAGATTTGTTAAAAATGAGTTTTAAAAGTTTGTTAGTAATATTTGATTTTTTTTATTCGTTTTGAATTCATATTCTTATCCAGTGAGCTAGTAAGTTAATTTATGTGGAGAAAAAGATTTTGGCTACTCAAAACTTTGAAATGTGGGAGGTTTTCCAATTCAAATTAAAGATGGGTTATGTCTGATAGAGTAACATCAAGTTAGGGCCTTGTAATTAACCCTAAGTTTTAAGGTTATTTTCTATTTAAACTAGAGCCTCTAGATTGAATTACAAAGTGATTCTGATGATTTGGATGTGCTAAATACTTTCTTTTTAAATTGCTGTTTTCTTCTGTTTAAGTTTGGTCTCTGAGACAATACCATGCCATCGAGATTATCGAGCATCACTGCAGAGCAACAAAATTTATCTAAAAAAGGTAGACTTTCGATTCTGTCCTCAGTGTTCATGTGTAACCGTTCACTTAATCTGACTTTTTGTGTCTGATCTCAAGAGATTACTAAATGCTGTGGCTGAGCTTGAGCAACTGAAGCCAATAGTTCAACAGAAACTCGAGGAGCTAAATAGAAAAAGCACATATCAAGTGAATAAGGGGAACAATCATCATCAAAATAATCTTTTAGGATTCTCAAGAGAGTTTTATCCAGCCAATAAGCAAAACCCAAAGGCTTATGGAACAACTAAGGTATGCATCCCGTACATGCTATTTATTAGCTGTCATTTTGTTCAAGCTTTCTTGTTTGGCTGCCTTGGATTTGGTCGTGATGTGTGCATATTTGGTTTTGAGGATTCTATTTGTCTTTCATATTTTCTTGAAAGTGTATCGATTTCCAGTGTGGAGTGCTCCAGAAATCAAGAGATGCATTGGAATTGTTAAGAAACTGTTTGTTTTAAGCTTACCAAAGTGATACGCAATTCCACTAAGGTGTCTGTTTCAAGAAAATTCCACTAAGGGGCTTGCTAGAAACAAAACTTTTAAGTTTTGGGAAAAGTTTGGTGCATCATTGCCAAAGGTTGTTTCATCTTCCTAAAGTTGAAAATTTGTGGTGTGTTAAATTGGCTAGAATATTTTATTTAAGATAATGTAAAAGGTGGTGAACAAAACATTGAAACACTAGATTCATGGGTCTGAGTTGGACCTTGTAGTGTCAATTCTACAGTAATTCCATTGCTTTGTTTTGAATATGCTTCATAACCATAGATACCACGATCCATAGAGACGAGGTGTTTGATTGTACAGCTTGTGTTAATGGTCTGTTCTGATGGATGTTGTCTCTGCATCTCACAGGTAGCAGCACCAGTTGTTCGAGATTTTGTGTCTCAAGTCCCAAGAACCCAGCAGTTTTTGCTTGTGAACCCAGTAAATGAGCAGATGCGCCATTTGTAAGTTTCTCCAATAAGGACTACTCTGTAGTTAGATGCAATGTGCCTGATCAAGGCACTTCAGTTGCATGGAGTAGTTGCTTAATTCTGGCCCTAGTCTGCGGCTCTCGCTAAACTTGAATTTTGCACGTGGAATCTCTTCATTTTACAATGCTTATAAATGAACCATCCGCAGACTTTAGTGTGAGATAGATGTCTTTGTAGCTGTTATTCCTTGGAAACTACAAATCATGATTTTCTTTTATTTTAATAAGGCCCTGGGCATTGAATATTAAAGATACATTTTGCATTGCCATGCTAGATAAAGACATTTCAGAAGTAATTGCATTAGCTTTAACCTGTCCATAAAAAGCAACAAACACAAATCTACACACTGAAAACATATAGTACAGCAGTTGCAAGTAAAAATTTTTCCTAGGTTGGCGTGATGTGTTGATTAAAAACAATAATGGACGAGGTAGAATGCATTTGTTAAGGTGAAAATGAGCTTATTTTTGCTGGATGTCACATATTTGTTCAATGTTACTCTTCTTTATTTGCTTATTTTTCTGTTTGCTTTTCTAGGTCACTTAGTATACCGCGTCCAAAGGATGAAACTCTGACCAGACATTCCATCCTGGGTCCAAATGGACTTCGAGGACAGTGGCAACCTCCAGCTAGTGACAGAGGGGTATGAAGGATGTTTTAGTGTTTTTAGCATAGTAAAATACAATTGTAGTCCTCAAGCTAGTGACAGGGAAGCATCAAGGATGTTTTTATATTTTTCACATAGTAAAGTACAATTTTAATCGTCATAAGTGAGATCATGAAATTCTGATGCAGTTGTCCTAGTCACGCATTTCTTTTATGATTAATTCATTCTCATGCGTCTATGCGACCAAATTCTGGCACAAGTTTGGCAACGCTTGAGAGACATGTAATGTTTCGTCAGAGAAGAAAATTTAGCGAAAAACCAGCCACCACCGCCACCTTCATCAATTCCTTCCTTCTGCCCCAGATAACTCAACACTTTTGCATCTCCTCACCTTTCCAGCCTTTCTTCATCTTCCTTGTGCCCTACCCACCTTCAATCTCTCCTTTCTGGTAGGGGTGAAGAGTTCTATTCCCCTATTATAATTTATTTAAATTATCAGGAAAGATGGGCACCCTATACTGGAAGGCTGACCCAATGAATATATAAGGATTGAGTGAATAGTAGATTGGAGCAATTTACCGGGTTGATGACTCAAATTTGTGAATTTTCTGCTCTTGGAATTAACAGTATCAATCCTTTAACCCTCTCAGTGATCCTAACCTCAAAGGATGCACCATTAGAGGGGTTACCGCAAAAAAGAGCTAATATGACAATAGAGGTGGTAGCTCTGCATTCTCTTCGGTAGGACGCGGAACTACCGAAGCAGAGCAGGTTACGGGGGGGTTATCATGGCAGTCCTTTTCCTTCGTTAAATCTGGGTGGGAAGGGTTGTGCATTGAGCCATGTGCTCTTTGTGCTAAACAATTTGCCAGAGGCTACTATGCTGGTCTACCGTCTATGATCATAGGTAATTAGACATAAGTGAAGCCCTCTGGGGATGGATAGGCATAGATTGGGAGTCGTGAGTCCTGACAAACAAACGTTTCACAAGAATTGTAAGGACTATAAGTCTAACTGTAGAAATACAACTTCTGTTCTTAAATGCAGGTGTCTTATCCAAGTAATGTTGACTTCACTCCTGTTCTAATCCCCAGGTGAGGTTCTTAATTGTTGATTTATTTTCAACATGTTTTATGTGCAAAATGTTTTAGCTGTTGCAAAACATATTTGTAATGACATTTTTAGGGCTTTAATACAGTCCTGAGCTACTAACAGATAAATTTGTTTTTGGTAGTATAAATTTATTCTGCCAGTGTGGTTAGATTTGAGTTTTGAGTATACTTTCTTAATCCTTGAAGGGAAAACAGGCTCCTGCAGCCTCTAGAAAATGAATCCTTGGATAAAAAGGATGACGTCAGTTCAGAATGTGGAAAACCATGTCTGGAATCTACGTTACCGGTAGATAGTGACAAGCCAGTGCTGCGTCTTGAAGAACCTGCTTCATTGATTTCCTTTGATACAGAAGAAAGCCCTCTACAATCAGAAATCATTAGACAACCATCTCCTCCACCTGTTCTTGCAGAGGTACAAGATTTGATGCCACCTGCATCATCTCCAGTCGATGAGGTGGAATGTGGATTGGTTAAATCATCCCCTGATGGCCTAATCTGCTCTGAAAACCCATTGCAATTGCACATTGTGAGAGTTTTATACATTTTACTATTCAACTTTTTGGTTGTCCAGTTCCTTATCACCTTTTCTTTTGTCTTACATTGTTGAATACTTTTACCTATTTTCATTTTGTAGTCAACATCTCTGATGGATGCATTCATGAAGCTAGCCAAGTCCAATACTAACAAAAATCTGGAAACCTGTGGTGTTCTTGCTGGATCACTTGTATGTCCCTTTAATTTCTTATCATTGTGTTTTCAGTTCCAATCTCTTTGTAGCTCTATCATCATCCACACTATTGCTTGTTTCAGAAAAATCGAAGATTTTATGTCACAGCTCTCATCATTCCCAAGCAGGAATCAACATCAGATTCGGTGAGTGAGAGTCCTTTATATTATTCATTAAGAAAAAAGGCTCCTTGCACGCCTCTTTGGAGGGGTTTCCTGGAAAGTATTCTGATCAAATTCTTTCTGAGCAGTGTCAAACTACAAATGAGGAGGAAATATTTGAAGTTCAAGATAAGCAATCACTGTTTCCTCTTGGGTGGATTCATGTAAGTGTACTTTGTGAGGATCCTAGTCCTTGATAAATTACTTCCGAATTGTGCTATCTTAATATAAACTATTGTACCAGGTCAGCTTTCAGTTTCTGTGATCTGGTGAAGCTTGCTATGCTTCTGTAAGAAAATATGTAGAAACAAGTAAAGAACTATCAAGTAACACTATTAGAACACCTAGCATACTCATTGTAGTTTATTGAGTCATAACAGAGACATACTTTGTAATGTTGTCGTGTACCTTCTACAAGTTATTTTACATAATCTGTTCCAGTAACATCATATGGTATTGTATCTCAAAAGAACGTTGAATAGTTTATACTCCATGATACAATTAAATTCAAGTAATGACTCTTTACTTTCCATTGTTTTACAGACGCATCCAACGCAATCATGTTTCATGTCATCCATTGATGTTCATACCCAGTACTCATATCAGGTTTCTGTACTTGAATTCTTTACTTCCCCAACCGGATATCTCTCATTTGTCTATGAAGACCGAGGAAAATGTTGTATCTTATTTTCTTACCAATAAAAAGAAAAGACTCAGGCAATGTTTACATGGCCTATTACACCTGGATTTATGTTTAACCTATTACATACTCCCTCCGGTCCACAATAAGTGACCAATTTGCTTTGGGCACACCCATTAAGAAAATACTAAATTCTAGACGAAAATAGTTAGTGTGACTAAACTACCCTTCATTAAATGTTGCACCATAGTTATAGTAGCACTTGCTTCTCTTCTCAAATGTGAGGAGTAAATGACTTTTTAGGGATACATACGTAAGGGTAATTTTGGAAAAACAAATTGAATTTTTTCTTGATTATATAAATGGACACTTGTTTTGGACCAAAATAAAAAAACAAACTGGTCACTTATTGTGGACCGGAGGGAGTACCATTTTATTGTTGATATGATTTTAATATTTTATGCCTGATCCTAGATTCACTTATTTCCTTTACTACTGATTAAACAGATCATGTTGCCTGAAGCTATTGCAATTGTAATGGCCCCAAGAGATAGTTCAAGGTAAAATAGCCTCAATCTCTGGTGAAGTAGATTTTGTTCTTCATGTAATACCTTTTTTAGGTTACTTTTGGTACATGGATGGAAGTGGGAAATGACAATCTTCCCTTCTATGCCTAGTTAATGTAGATCTAACTAATCCATGGTATTCTAATCCTAGAACTCATGGAATATTCCGATTGACGAATCCGGGTGGTATGACAGTTATACGACAATGTCCGAGGCGTGGTTTTCATCCGCATGACCCCCCTCCTGATGGTAGCCCAATTTATAAGCATTGTGCAGATGTCTATATGGATTCTAAATTGAAGTTCGACGTCATTGATCTTCGATGATTGCAATCATAGATTAATCAGATACATCTTTCATCATGATCCTTGTTTGTTTTGCCTTTGCAATATTGGTTGGTCTACAAGATGTCAATACATAATCCGTGAATACTCAATTTGATATTGCTGTTACCGGGCAACTCTTGAAGCTGCAGCTTGTATGCAGGTAAAGGTTGTAAAAGGTTCGTGCCTGGCATTTTTCTCAAAAAGGTTCATGCCTGGCATTCTTGCAGATATAATAGAACTGCATCATTGAATACTTATAATATAAACAATCTTTGTAAATAGAAATTCTTTTTCAGGCATCATGTGTGTAAACTTGCAAAATATTCTCAACACTATTGACATCTTAGTTGTAACTGTGCATCAGTTATCCTATGTACTTTGTGAATATAGTTCTGCTGGTTCTTGTCCTAGACTTTACCGACCGGCTGTTTTTCTTTACATTTTAGGAAGGATTATTTTGTAGTTATCTATTTTGCATCATTCCATCCACAGCTTTATGGTGCTCAAATTCCAATGATCCCATCCATGATATTTCCTATTGCTTTGTTTAGGGGCCCTGATTAATGTAGGAAGAAGTGTCCTTCAGGAAATCTGCAGTGACATATTTGCTGCATTTGTTTGAGTCAGCTGTATTGGTCTGTATTATGTAGAATCGTTTCTTTTTCCCTCAGTTTTTTCTGTGTTTGTTCTCTTAAATCGTGTTTCCATTTTTATCGGAAGAGAGTTGGGGTTGAGTTTCAGTTTGTTTTGTTTGTGTTGGGTAAATTGAGTGATCCGTTGTTTATTGTGGTTGAGGCAGCCCAAATTTTGGGGTTGGGCAAAGAAAGGCAGAATGAAGCGAAGCATGACCATTGGGGTGGAATCAGCCAATGTGGATTGATCTCTCAATTCTTTCGAGTCTGGAATAACATGAATTTTCGCCTTGATTAGCTCTACTGGAGACTAAAAGTAGCTCCTTGATTTGACATACTTTTGTCTTGTTTCTCTTTGAGTGCAACAAGTAACTGATTCCGGGCCCCTGTTAGTAAGGCTTTTGAATGCCATGAGTTGTGGCCAACAGGCCGAGGATTCTATGGCTTGGGAAGCCAAAGAGGTGGCCTTAGTTACAGATATGGACAACTAGCTCACATGTCAAGTGTCAAATATGGTTCGGCTGTCAAAACCTTGAAACATGACAAGCTCTGGGTGAACGAGGGTTGTCATTCATCGATGTATACCTTACACCATGGCTGGTCCATCTGTTCTATGGATCTCGACTTCTCATCGTCCTCGCTTTCAAAGATCATTTCCATGATTACCTCTTAACAATTAAAAAAGAAGGCTCGTTGCCATGATTGACATTTTCTAGCTAAAATGATGTTAAGTATTTCTGCCTCGCTCTTTCTTTTTTAAGAAGTAAGAAACAATGTTGGAGGGTTCGATACATCAGTGCGAGCTCTTAATCTTATTACCCGTTGACCCAACCGTAACTTTTGTTGTGGTTGGCAATACAAGAAAAAGAAAAAGTATGGTGTTTTTATCTCCGTCGGCTTCTACATAAAAGGAGAAAATAAAATAAGAAATGGTTCTTCTGTTATCTTTTCTAGCACGCTGAGCAATGTATTGCTTCTTGCTAGACCCTTAAAAACCCAGTTTATATAAATCTAGATTTTGAGTATGGGGAAGAAATGAAAAAAGGACTGAATTCTCTCAGTTAAGCTTTTCTTCTCCCTTCTACTGTTCTCTTAATTGCACCGAGTATGATCTATTGATTACGTTGGCAGTAATATTGTTGTGTTCAATCTCTGTTCCTTCCAAAGTAAAATCCGTGATAACTGAGTCGATGCAAATCCAATTTAGTGACGTCACTTCAATTTTAGAACTTTAGTTCTAAAGCTGGTAGATATGTTCAGTGTTGACAATAGAAGCTAGTGAGGAAGCTGGGGATCTAGCCTTTTTCGCTACGGGTTCTGAACCTAGTATTTTTCATACGGAATATAATATATATGTGAAAAACTACTAAATTTTCAACAAGTAATACTAGATTTAAACCCCTGATTTTAAAAATACAATATGTTCAGCACTAAAAACTTTAAATGTCGTACTCATCATGTTAAAACCTCGGATTCGCTTGTCAAGAACGTCTAACATTGAACTAGTTTTGGCTTACATGACACCCACATCTCTATGTTCTAGATGGAAGTGGTTGAAAAAAGGAAATAATCATCTATACTTCCTAGCGTGAGACCAAATCAATGAATTGTTGCCGAGCACAATGGCAAACTCTCACGCTGTTCGCAGAAGAACTTTCAAAGCCAAACTACATGTATTCTTTGCTTAATATGTTGTTTTCATATGATTGTTGAGAAGAAAATGGACAACATGTCTTCAGTAGCAGAATCAATCCAATATATCTGAAACTTTCAACACAACCTTTCAACTAATTCCAATTGAAATATACTAATGCTTATTCACTCATATCAATCCACAATACTTCTATTATATTTTATATCCAAGGGAAGTAACAAAAGTCAAATAGCAAAATTAAAGGTTTTCAATATCTTATTTTTGGGGGGTCACTAACAGATAATCACATTTAATAGTATAGTGTGGGAACCAGTCTATTAACACAGGTACGATTTGGATAGCGCTCAGGGCAAGTAATTATTATTAAATGTTGTTTGACTTGACCTAAGTATAACCCAATAAATTCACCTTCCCCTACTAATGATTGTCATCATTTTTATTGAAGCATGACACTGATCATTATAGAGAGCGTTGAAGTTAGGTTTGATGTCCCTGTAGAAATACGTATAATTGAATTTAATCCGAAATGAAAGTATTAATATGATACGCAAATGTATCTTATTTAATTCCAATTACCTAATAGTGATAAAATTTACTTAATATTTATCTTAATTAACTATGAAAAGTTGGTCAAGGTTCAATCGAGATGAATTATGTCAGGCGGCCAAGTTATGTTGTTAGCAATTACAAATCAATGATGGATGTTAGATTATCCAGTGAAAGGGCCTATAATCAACAATTTCCAAGTGTTACTTGATCGTGTTTCAATAATTAAACATACTTAACCTAATTGTACAAGCCATCATGATTCTTCTTCTGCGAGATATTTAAGATTTTCATTTCTTATTTTTTATCTTTTTATTTTATACTCCCTCCGTTCAATTTAATTGTCCATTTTTGACTTTACACCCCTTTTAAGAAAAAATAAATGAAGTAGGTATTTTACAATATTATCCATAATAGTGATAGCATTTTCAGAAGTCTTGAAAAATAATTTAGGAAATTAGTAGTTAGTGATAAAGATAAAATATGAAGAAAAAAAAAAAGAAAATTATTTTTCTCTTAATTTGCTAAAAATGGACAGGTAAAATTCAAAATATATTTTTAGTATAATGAATAACCTAAAGTGAACGGATGGAGTACTATCTATTTGTATGGTGTGTGTTCAAAACACATATGACCTGCCTTGTTAAATGTAGTTTACTGAGAATTCATTAATCTGAGCTGGTTGTCTAGAGACAGTCAAATAAGGAAAGAAAAGAAAAAGTAGAAAAGAAGAAGAAGGAATAATTAAGTTGGTGGTTGAGTTAGCAGACACCAAAAAGTCAAGAGAATTAAGAAGGGAGTTAATCACAACTTCCCTCTTCTACTAAAATGTTACCAAGATTTTCTTGCAGTCACTTTCCCAAAAAAATGTAAAAACAAGACCAAGGAAAACAGGGGGGTGGGGGGTGTTAAGAACAAGAAAGAAATAGAGAAAAGACCCTAAATTAAAATCATCCAAAATTTACTGATATGATTAATTCTAATATATACTCATCGTAAAAGTCTACAATGGAAGATTTTAGCAGCTTCCTACCTAAAAGGACTACTTTCTCAAGAGTTCTAAAAAGATACTTTAGTTAAGTGTAAGGGTGTGTTTTGTATGGAGGAAAATATTTTTCTGGAAATGTTTTACATATTTCTTATGTTTGGTTGGCTTAAATGTTTTAAAAAATATTTTTCTTGTATAGTCATTTTACTCCAATTGAAAGAAAATATTTTCTTTATCAAGAGAAGGGAATTTTTTTTTTAAAACTCCTTCTCAACCTTCCCCACCCTATTCCCCATCCTCACCGACCCTTCCCACACCCATCCACCCAAACCCCTCTCNTCTATTTTTTTTGTTTTATTGTCCCCCCTCCCCCCGGGAAATTTATATATATTTTCAGTTTTAGTTTTTTCATCTTTCGATTTACAGGTTCGAAATTTTACGAGTTCCAAAGTTATGAGTTCAGAGGTTTACGTGTTTGAAAGTTTACGGGTTTAGAAATTATAAAGTTTACGGGTTCGAAAGTTCGCGGTTTCGAAAGTTTAACGGTTCAGAAGTTTATGAAATTTGTGGGTTCGGAAGGTTGTTGGTTCGAAGTTTATGACTTCATGTTTATTGTATCTAAATTATTTATGAATACTCTTGAGAAGTTATTTTCCTTAATTTGCATACCAAACACCGGAAATTGAATAAAATTACTACTTGTTTATATTTTTTATACCAAACACACCCTAAAGCAACATTATTATTCAACAACATCCAAATTGACTGGATAAGAAATTGCTTGTGCTTCAAGATAGAAGCCAACATCTTGGCTATCGTAGTCGAGTGGTAATAAACCTTTATTTGGAATGTGGAAAATTACTCATTGTCCTTTTGGCACATGACTCAAACTTGTAGCGACAAAAAGCAAGAAAATAATATAATATGTATGCTAGTATATGAACAGAATAAATGATCTAGTCTGTATGTTGCTCCAAAGTGTTGGAAAATCATTCCTAGAGTTTTCAAAGTATAATTTGATATTATTGGACATTGTCATGTGTTCCGATCCATAGTCTTGCTAAAAATTTAAGTTATATTTGTTGATGGGGTTAAAAAAAAAGACCATTAATTCACTTATAAGGTCAATTAAGTGTAAATCTTTGTAATAAACATTAGTATTTAATAACCTGGTAAAATTATTAAGTAACTAACTTGCTATTAAATGTTAAAATAAATTAATGGTGTAAAAAATAATTTCATACGTCAGAGTATATCATATGGGTATAAGAGTGATTCCTTGCTTCCTAAAAGGTAAAAAAGATTTTCTTTACCGTAATAGGAAAGTTAACACTTTGCACTTTTAACACTGTCAAGTCTGATCTTAGTTAAACCAAAAAAATGTCTGATCTTAGACTTACCATTAATCTTTAAGAATGATGCGGAATAAGCTGTATTAATAGTGTATGGATTAGTAATACAGGGTCAATAATGTAATTATTAGTTATGTAGAAATTATTTCTTATCCACTGTTTGGTGCGATGTATTAAAAATTAAAGTACATTACATAATTTTTAAGAAAATTAGTTGTTTACAAAAATGTCTTCCATATTCTTTAGCTT